TTGTTCAGAAATGTGTATTTCGAACAGAACATGGTCTTGCATAGCCATTTTAATCCCTCATTGTTCAGCCATTCATGACAGAAAAAGTGGCACAAACCAATTTCTGACATGGTCACTTAAATCTCTTAGAACTCAGTCATCCGTGAAGAAAAATAAACACCTTTGGTATCATAAGAAAAAGGACATCATAACCTATCAGATGGTAGCTGTGAAATTTTCCTATTATTATTCATATTTGAGAAATAAGCAATCTATTGCTGGTTTCCTTTTTTTTGGGACACACTGTATATAGCGATTATCCTATATGAGGTATAGGATATTGGGATTATCCCGAGGCTAATATAATATATCTGCCCACTTTTTGGTTTTAGGGGCCCAATAATTTTTTCCACGCAAGCAGCAAGTTTTTTCTCAGACCTGAAATTTGGCCCCCGTGTTGGTTCCCAGATCCACCCTTGGTTTCCAATATTTCTATTTTTTGTGACAGATTCATAGATTCATATAATCATATATGTGATAGTGTTCGTTGTGATTTGCTACTCCGGGGAGTTTTGGTTTTCTAGTTATACTCAAATGAATGGCAATTTAGAAATGGATTGCAAATATTGTATCGTTTTTCTGATTGGGAAAATTCTAAATGGCTGCCTAATGTGGGATTTTGCAATTATTTTCTGATCTCTTTAAAGTATATTATACTCAAATTGAAGGAATTTCAGAGTAGATCACTATTATGGCATTGTTTTTCTGATTTTTGCCTGGAATTTGCCATTACTTGGAGTTATCTTGAAAGTATGGTTACATGGTACTACAATGATTACAAATATTTATTGAATGGAAGAGTAGATGGTAAATATTACATTATGACTGTACTGATTTATATAGTGTTCGGTGGGATTTGCTACTCCATGGAGTTGCCATTTTCTAGTTGGACTTCAAGCAGAAGTGAAGGTTACCCGCAAATGATATATTTCATGGAGTAAGTAATTTCCTTTGATATAACAAAACATAAGTTAGAAAATAAATTGTGAAGTATTCATAGTGTTTTTATGTAAATAGCATGCTCTGTCAAAGTGGACAAATCTTTCGATACTAGCCTGTGGTTACATGATAAGAAGTTCTAGAACTGATTAACTTTCAGCGGCCATCTTGCGTTCTGGGTCATCAATGGGGTCTATGGGGAATCACCCTGACCTAGAAGTCACATTTTCAAAGAAAATTAAATTTTCAAAGTTGATTAACAATTTATGAAACCACATTTTTAGATGTAATTTTGCATGTAGATTTTAAATATGATATCACTTGACTGAATTATTGCTTAGATTATTTCTACTCACATCTGGTCTATTGCAAAATTTGATGAACTTTATCATGTTAATGTTTTGTACATTGTTATTGCTGCTCTGTTGCTATATAAGATACTTGAGCTGGTTAAATAATATATAGAGGTTATTTAATGGGAGGGATGGAATATGAATTTTATTTCTAGGGAAAATGTGATATTGACCAAGGAAAATATCATATTGACCAAAGGCTACATCCTGAGTATAAATATGATATTTTCCAAGGCCAATATCATATCTTATCCAGGAAAACTTCATATTCCATCACGACCATCAATAACCTATTTATTCCATAATATTTTTCTGAAACTTGTTTTTTATGTCGTCACCCAATGATGGTGGCATTAAATGATACAATCTTATTTATCGAATGACATTTTCAACTTTTATTAACAAATTTTAAAATAGAAATAATTTATTATACTAATATGGATCATAATATACCATAATAACACAATATTAAAGGCCCCATATAAAGTTTAAACCACTTTGGCTTATATTGTAGTCTTACCCAATGTTATCAAAGTGTGATATGTGAAACTTTTTTTAAATTTCAAAAAGTGGTTTTTGATAGACTTTTTGTTCCATAATTTGTGAATTTATTTAAAGGCCCCATATAAAGTTTAAACCACTTTGGCTTATATTGTAGTCTTACCCAATGTTATCAAAGTGTGATATGTGAAACTTTTTTTTTAAATTTCAAAAAGTGGTTTTTGATAGACTTTTTGTTCCAAAATTTGTGAATTTATTTTAAACCAACTTTTAGAGGTCACTCATATCTTCTAATTAGCCACAATTCATACCAATGTATAGCATTCATCCTCCAATGTTTTTTTCCGAAAAAATTAAGAAAATCGGTTCATAAATAAGCGAGAAATGAACTTATCAGTGCATGAAAATGGTTCTGAGAAAAACGCATTTCAAAATTTTAGTTCTCATAGAAACCAATGGTACAATGATATCTAAAACATAATTTGTTCTTCCTTTTAACCTGGTTAGACAATCAACATTGTTTTTTATGAAAGTCTAACATATTTAAAAAAGATTGACATCGAAAAAAAAATTTCAATTTTTTTCAAAAATTTTTTGGTACCTTAGTGACATCACGAATGTTTCAAAATATTTTTGATATGCTAAAACATTGAAGTGGCCCATTAAATATGGCATTTTATTATTGAAATAGTGTGTCCTTTGTTAAATCTTTGCATTGGTGTTAAAAAGATAATTTTTTTGAAATGTATTAAGAAATATTTGATGATTAAGAAACTTCAACTTTTTTTGAAAAATGGCGGGAAATTTGAATATTTGAGAAATGAAATGCTCACAACTTTTTTTTCAAAAATCTCTAAAATCACTTTTTAAGTCCTGACAAATAGTAAATGAATGATAAAAAAATATTTTCAAACTTTAGACAGGGAATTTAAGTCTCATGAAATTTTCTGATAGTTCTGATACAGAATTTTGGCTGATATGGGATCTGATACGGGATTTTGGCTGATACTGGATTTTTGAATATCGATTTAATTCCCTGTTACTTTACCGGGAAAACATGTTATTATGGAATAAAAAGAATTATGTCCTGCGTAATCCCTTGATATTTCCCAGTCGTAGACTAGAAATAGTTAGTTGGCAACAGAAATAAAAAAAATGCAATTACTGTCAATGTAGTTAATTGAGTTCTGGATTGAGTTGGAAATTAGTCTTGATAAGACCTGCTCCAGATCCAACAAAGGGTTTACTCCATCTATTTACATTGAAACACAGGTTAACCGTAAACATGTTTTTTACATTCATAAATAATGAAATAAGCAACTTTTTACTTTTACTTCTTACATTGGTAGCTTTTTCATTTGCGACTCGATAAAGAAGAATTATCAAAGCTCATGAAGAATGGACGATCTTGCACAGGTACTCATATAAGAACCTTTAATCTTCATGAGTGAGCGCAGAAGTTTATTGAAAAAAAAATTGAAAAAAAATTTGAAAAATCTTAACCATCAAATATCACTTGTGAAACCATCACATATCACTTTGGAAACTATCGAATATCACTTTTCGAGAAGTGATATTCTATGGTTTGAGAAGTGATATTCAATGGTTTTTCTGGATTTTTTGCGAAAATATGATATCTTGATACACATATCAAATTTATCTTCACCTGATATTCGATCTTTATCCTTGTAACAATGGGATAAATAGAGGATATCCTATGATTAATGAGTGATATGATTTTTATCCACGAATGAATATGATATCTGCACGAGCGAGCGTAGCGAGAGAGTGCAGATATCAATATCCATGAGTGGATTAAAATCATATCACGAGTAAATCATAGGATGTTCTTTTTATTCCATAGTTAAAGTCATCATCAGAATTGTCGGAAATTAAGTCATTTAATTCGAATTTTCCAAACGATCCGGCGATGTTGACACTTAGCCTCGTTTTGAGTCTGAAGTAGCAAAAATCCATTAACCATCGCATACGACGTCGTATGTCATGGCTAAAAAACCGTATGCTATGGTTAAGTGAAAATTTGTCAAAAATATCATATTTTACCACTGATTACAAAAATACCGTTTTTATTTTCACATGTTATCCAATGAATATCATGCTAACTATGGAATAAAAAGTATTATTCCATAGTTAGCATGATATTCATGGGATAACATGTCAAAATAAAAACGGTATTTTTGTAATCAGTGGTAAAATATGATATTTTTGACAAATTTTCACTTAACCATAGCATACGGTGTTTTAGCCATGACATACAGCGCCGTATGCTATGAATTATGGATTTTTGCTACTTCAGACTCAAAACGAGGCTTGGTGTCAATATCGCCGGATCGTTTAGAAAATTCGTTTTAAATCACTTAATTTCCGACGATTCTGATGATGACTTTAACTATGGAATAAAAAGAACATCCTATGATTTACTTGTGGTATGATTTTAATCCTCTCATGGATATTGATATCTGCACGACCGAGCGTATCGAGCTTGTATAGGAGTATAGGATAATAAGAACATCCTATGGTTTTTTCAGAATCATTTTAATCTGCTCAGTGATACTGATATATGCACTCGTTCGCTACGCTCTCTCGTGCAGATATCAATATTACCTCATAGACAAAAATGATATTCCTCAAAATCATAGGATATCCTATAAATATGATATCATAACCATGAGTTAAGGTTGTCAATGCAATAATGCATCTATCTGTTTATACCATATTCTCTGTAATTAGTGCCTGGGGCTCTTAGAATATTCAAAATACTGTTGAAGCCTTTGTCATAACGGGGAAGATATAATAGCGAAAAATAGTATCGTACATCAATCGTTATATTGAATTCCGTGATAATTATATATATATGTAGACTAGCCCAAAAATATCAAAATCAGCTCATTTTTCACGTTCTACAACATCAGGCAGTTCAATTTTACATTCGATCCTAAAAAAATATGTCTCCCTGCGGCAACTGTCGAGTAGATACGACCACACTGCTATAAAAAAATTTCTGCCCTTTCTATTTGTTTTTTCAGCATCAAAGAAATAATAATTAGGAAAACTCACTTACAAAACGTGCAAAGCGTGCATATTAAAATTCTCAACACTACCGTGCGAAAAACATAAATAAACGTAAGCGTGCCCATGACCACTTACTTGTGAGGCCATGCATCACCGCTCCCCTCAATGACCTCCAATACTTATAGTGCCCATCTTCGGAAAAGTGGGTACCATCCTCTCCTAACATGTCAAGGCCATTCATCACTTGTCCCTTTGTCTTCCAAAAATAGGTACCCGTTGAATGGTCTAGCACCTGAGCTAACCTCCTATTTACTCTGTCAACATTGTTGTTGTAACTCACTTGCTGCTGTAAAGATCGTATTCTTGAAGAACGTGCCAGAGACATCCGTCTATAAAATAGCTTGCACAGGACTACTTTAGCAACTCGCCGCCGAATCCTATGAATCATGTCTATAGTCCCATGAAACACCTCAGTAATTCTCTCCTCTGACATTGCAAAATTGTCAATCTCATTACCAGCTATCTGAGCAACTACCACGTCGAAATTGTTCATAGATTTCCAAATCGCACTTTCATTCAATTTTTTAAAATTACCCCCTGGCACTCCTTCATATGTCAACATGCATTGCTTCTCATTCAAATCCAGTGATGGTGGACATTTCTTCAAGGTTTCTGCAGAGAAAGAATCACTGGGTACCTCTATTCTCTTTACTAGACTATGCCCGAACAACAGCACCCTCGGAGCACTCATTGCCAAACTTCACTGCAAAAATCATTTTATTTTTTTATAAAAATACAACAACTTAGGCCCATGTTCTAAGTCGTAAACGGGTTTGCCTGTTCAACTTTCTAAAACCCACAGCGGAGCATCATATTTATCGTTTCATTCTCTTAAAAACCTCATAGTAACGCCTTCCCGTCTAGAAATTACACGAAAACAAATATTTCGTAGAAAGAATATGGGCGCAGCCATCTTTTTTCCGGAAAATACCGACAATTTCCGGAAAGGCCGACAACCCACAATTGGCCAATGCCCGCTTCGCTATCACGCTTTAGTCGCGTGCCAAAACTTGCTTATGTTGAATTTGCTTTTCAGTCGATGAACATCCCATCTTAAACTGAATGATTATAACCATACGCCCCAGTTCTAACTGTAATGTTCCAAGTTTATCAACGTTAACTGAAAAGCTGAAAAATGCGACTAAATTGAAAAGAATAATCGGGGAAGAAGTCCACCTCAAAAATTTCGAAAAAATGGAAACGACCAACCCATCAATCTAACGCTGAATAACTTAGTTAGATGAGATATCCTTATTCAATCGGCATATTTCCATAATAAGAACTACGTCTTTCCCGAAAGACCTTCATATTATTCTCCATCACAACCCTAAACGACCCAAACTGGCAGGCAAACTTTCGAAAGAAATCCACTCCAGAATTAGGTCAATCATGGCGAAATTTTTAGAGCGTGAATTTAATCTTCTCATAACTGTCCCGATCCGCCAATATCAGCATCGAAAGTTTGCCTCACACGCGTGTTACTTGTTTGATCGTAAGGGTAACCAAAAATTTATGCTTACCTACACTTTGTTTGTTCCAAAAGTGTAAAAACTTGTTGAGAATAATCATAAAACTTTACTTCGAGTTAAAAGGACGCTATCTTGTCTTCCAAGAACTTCCTTGAGCTCTGATTGGCTGATCCGCACGGGCCCTTCCCTGATTGGTTCCTGGCGTGTGTCCTACTTCCAGCGGGAGATTCAAACATTTAAAAACAAACTTGAAGGCTAGACTCCACAATATCCCGATAAAATACATTATGAATATAATGTTTATTTATTTGTCTGAACTATAGCCAAAACATTAATCATCTCCATATTTGTGACATCATGAAATCACCATGTAAGCATATAACATGTAACCGTGTAACAATGTACGTCACATTGGGGGGAGTTTTCAAATCCGTGGAAAAAAGTGATATCTGTGGAATGTTCTCCGTATTCCACAGATATCGCTTTTTTCCACGCATTTGCAAAATATCATAAATATATATGTACTGTATATACGTGTTATTCTACAGATTTGACCTCAACTATGGGATAAGATATGATAATGGTGGAAATGCTTGCAACAGGGTTGATTGAGGCTCTGGTGCTATAATGGAGAGGAATGCTGGTTTGTGAAATATTAATGAGATGGTTTGTTCCTACTTCTATATATATATATATACTATTGTTGAGTGCATGGCCGCTTCCTGGTCAACTCAACCCCAAGTCAACTCAACCCAAGTCAACTCAACCCTTAGTCAAGTCGACCCCAAGTCAAGTCAACCCTTAGTCAAGTCAACCCCAAGTCATCTCGACCCTTAGTCAACTCGACCCCAAGTCATCTCAACCCTTGGTCAACTCATCCCTTAGTCAAGTCGACCCAAATGATTTTACTTGTTTTAAGTAGATTAAAATACAATATAATCCCATTGTTTGTGCAGTTTGATTTGAAATCAAACTTCAAAGAAAAAAACATTTCTGTCACCTATAATTCAAAACGAAGATTTGAACTTGATCATAAAATCCCAATCTGATTGTTTATGACACCTGACATATGAGTAAGATAATGGAAAATAGAAAAACATAAATCCCATTGTTTGTTCAGTCTTGTTTTAAAATCTTACTTCAAAAAAAATAAACATTTCTATCGCCTGTAGATCAGAAGGAAGATTTGAACTGGATCATATTGTTTATTGTTATAAAATCCTAATCTTGTTATTTGACACCTGACATGTGTACGATAATGGAAATTGTAAAATCATAAATCCCATTGTTTGTTCAGTCTTGTTTTAAAATCTAGCTTCAAAAAAATAAACATTTCTATCGCCTATAGATCAGAAGGAAGATTTGAACTATATCATATTGTTTATTGTTTATTATTATTATTATCAAAATATAAAGTCATTCAATACAAAGTAATGGATGGATGTTGGCACAATGCACATGTTGCATAAGTTACCTGTTGTCAAAAATACTGTTGCAACAATTTCGGTAGAACAGAAAAGTGTATAGATAATTTTTTTTTTCATTTCAGAGAGATAAAACAAGCTCAAATATGAAGGGGTGAAATATATGTATAGCATCGTGAATAGCCCTATTAAGATTGTTCAAATATTATTTTGGTAAATAAATGTCATATTTATAAAAATTATAAATGCGTTAAGCACAAACTTCAATAGTTGATAATTTTATTTTGGAAAATTAGCATTTTAGTCCCTCATTCTTTCAAAATTCATCAATATCGTACCATGAAAATAGTATATCTACTTGTTTTTTTATGGTGGGGTCGAGTTGACTAAGGGTTGAGATGACCAAGGGTTGAGATGATTTGGGGTCGAGTTGACTAAGGGTCGAGATGACTTGGGGTCGACTTGACTAAGGGTCGACTTGACTTGGGGTCGACTTGACTAAGGGTTGAGTTGACTCGGGTTGAGTTGACTTGGGGTTGAGTTGACCAGTTACCGCATGGCCTAGGCTTATTGTTTATCAGTGATATTCTGCTCTCTCAACATATAATGACAATATTTTTAATGGAATCTAATTCAAATTGCCTCTTTTATCTTCCTAATATCCTGATATGCGTGTAGTTTTGTATTTATTTAAAATCTATTCATAATTGATATTTTTGGAAAAAGTCACAAAATGGGTTATGAATTGATTAGTTAGTGATAACCTGCAAAAAGCAGATTTGAGCATATTGATTGCCATATCAAGTTGCTTTTACCAATAAAATGTTAATGAACTAAGAATGATCTACCTCTCTTGTTTCTGAGCAGGCATGATAACTTTACTTTATTACTCCCTAGAGTAGACACACATTAAGATGACTTGATTGTTTTGACGAATTTGGGTTATCTGTATTGAAGAAGGAGGAATATAGCAGAACAGTTCACATTGTAATTTCTAAATGGCTCAACATGCAATAAACACAATACAAGGGAAATGACCAGATTGGAATTAGGATGTTATATGTGCACTGTATATGTATTAACCTAAATAATGATGTATAGCCTATCAATAAGCCATGCTGTGAGGGATTAATAATAAGAAGCCTTTGTACTATATTATGAGGATCTGCTACTGTAGCTTTACTTCCTATGGTACAACAGAGTCACCAGGATTAAACCCTCATGATCACAGCTTAAAAAGTCTGAACATGTTAGGGTTAGAAAATGTACGATTTATTCTATGGATTATATAGATCTAAATAGTTTAAATGGATTAAAGGATTAATAGAGTATATGATATACAGTACATGTGCATGTATGGATGTAGACACATTTTATTAACATTAAATAGAAATAAAAATAATGCATAGTCTAACAGAACAGATACAGAACCTTGTGGGACCCTGATGATTCAGCATAGGATAACTCTAGCATATCATGGAGAAGTACTTAGTTTGTATTTGTAAGACCTGACAATAGTATATCAGTTGCTCGTGTGCTTGGGTGCGTCATAAGAGTCAATTACTTAATGGTCAAGTGGGCCAGTATGTACCTCAAAATTGCTGACCCGCTTCAAATCTTACTGGTCAAGTTTGACCAGCAACTTTCAAAATTAATTGGTCTGTTACAAATTTGATTGACCTAATTTGATTGACTTAGTATTCAACCGAAATACTGGTTCTATACTGACCAGGAAAATGATGACACAATTTTGAAATATAAATCTAAAGTTTAAAGATTGTATGTTTATAAAGGCATTGGTAAGTCAATCTCAATAACACTCTAGGCGAAGTGATGGGCTTAACTCGATTCCACCAGATTTTAGCGTATCACTTCACCTATAGGGTGAATAAGAAACATGCTAATGGTGACACTTTGGAGAGCTAGGTCAATATTCCAAGTTATGACATGTTTAATTTATCACTATTTTTTAAAAGATTTATAGCATAAACCACGAAATCCATCTTTGCATCCAGTATGTTTAGATTATAAGAAAATGGTTCAGTATAAATTTAATGAGGCATGATGTGTGACTGTTGAACATCAGTCATAGGTCAGTGGTTGTCGGTAATTGACGAAAATATACAAAACAGCATATATTTAGATATTTAGAGTACAGAATATAAAAAGTTTGTTTAAGGACAGTTGAAAAGCTACAACTCTCATGAGTTATATGCATATAACATTAAACATAGTAATACAGCATCATACAGACATATAAAGTTGTTTTAGTAATATGAGTGGAGTACATGTATAAACCATACTTTTATTGGAAATTACTCAATGTTATTATAATCTATAAACTCACAAGAAGCTTACATTGAGATAAAGCCTTTATAACTTACCATAAGTGTAAGGCAGGATGTAGAGAGTATAAGAAAACATGGACATTTAAGGTATTTTCACATATTTAGAAATTTTAATAGCTTATATTATTTTCAGCTACACAACTCATTCCATACATGCTACAGTATATACAGGGTGGGTAAAAAAAAACAATACCCAAGTTTAAGGATGAATATCATATGATATAATGTTAAACCATGCCATGTATTATATATCATTTTAAAAATGAATCATTTACTTACAATAAGACACCATCTGATTGAAAAACCATTGTTTTCTTGTGGAGTTAGAGGCTAAAATTGACACCAACGGTGTCATGAGCGACCAAAAAATTATTCACTGTGGATTTCCAAATTGTGAAAATATCTGGGAGCCCAGATTTTGTCAAAATGAACTGAGCCTTAAATACTGGGATTGGGTCTTTAAGGTTTTGTATAAATAGTGCATGAATTTACCTTGATTATTAGTTGAGCACTCATAGATATTTTAGATATATAAAAAAGCACCTACATTTTTATATTTTTAAAAAGTATAAAGCTTAATACATAAAATTATTACCTCTCAACTAGTAACATTTACATCAGTATGTACTCTGTGTTCAACTGAAAGATGGAATGTAGTCCATGTATTGAATGAGTTATGTGTACTTGAAAATAACAATTAGGAATCCATTAAAATTTCTAAACATATGCAACTCCCTTAATTTATTTCCTGTAGCATGGGAAAAGATGTAAGCAGAAGGAAATATCATTGTGTGCTTTCTTCGAAGCTTTCATATATTAGTCTATTCCTGTATTCTCACTGAATTCAGAGGGATAAATAAACTGATTACTAAATACATTACTATAATATAGCATAGCTGTTTAAAGACACATTTGGAGAAACAACAGCAAGTAAAAAACATTGAGAGCCACAAATTCCTAATTATTAAAGAATATGGAATAATATGCATCTATGGATTAAATCTATGGTGAAGTAGAGATATTCAAATCATTTTACAAAAACAGGCTTGTATATCTAGTATAGAGGTAGCACAGCAGATGATGGTTTGAAATAGTAGTTGTATTCAGTAAAACCTGTCTAAGTACCTTTAAAAAGTGTTCCACTTGGGAGGTGTTCCACTTATAGAGGTTCATTTAATATTGAGTCAGTTAGTCTACTAACAGAGATGTTCCA